GATGGAGAATTGGAGGAAACAGATGTTGTCTACCAAAACAATTGCCAAGAATTTAATTACAACATTTGAGTGGTCTTTCCACAAAAATGACTCCTGTAGATTTTCATCTATCAATGTGATATTTTTTAAAAATAAATGAAAAATTTCAAAATTGTCAAGGAGGCAGCAAAATAAGTGGTTTCCATTTTTTATGTTCAAATGTGAATTGATACAATTATTTTTCAAGGACACTATAAAATATGCATTCCCAACCTTAAAAATGTCCATGCTTTGATTGCTGTATTCCAAGTCATTGTAAAAGAGGGACTGTTAGATCGAGAAGTTATTACCTGTTTAAGAATCCACATCACTTCCCAGAAGGAGCTATCTCATGATCATTAAGGCTGCACTGGATGTGGTTACCTTAAAAAATCCCAGTGTTTGTCAGTAAAACAACATTACATCATTTTATCAGTGGTATACAATATTTTTTTCAGGTGCCATTAACTTTATTTTTAAAATAATTTTATTGAGAAACAAATGGCAATGAGACAGTTCCAAAACCAACTAGTAACACAGTTTCAATAATTGATATATTGCATATTATTGTCTTAGTAGTTATTCATTGTACAAGATGCAGACATGATATCATATCCAAAAATACTATTCAAACAAATCTCTCTTTTCATTGCATTAAGAGAATGCAGCTGTATATCCATCCTAATTTGAATATACAGATACAAAAAGGTCATGCATTTGTATTGAATTTTGTTTAGTTTTGTCAGAAAGGTAATCCATTATCATTTAAATATCATAAATACATGAATTCAGCAAAATATTCCAATATAGTCCAGTAGTCCATAACAGTAGTGAGTTTTCTGTAGGACTGGCATTGTCAGAAGTTGTTAACTTGAGCCTTTCACAGCTCAGCATATTAATATGGCTTTACATTTTATACTTCGTTTTCATACTTTTCTTCTGGGTGGTTAAGACCAAGATAAAGCAAAATCTCTATAACAAGAAATGTAACCTTTGTTTCTGATAAGGTCAGTTAAATCCCCTTAGGATTTAACCTGAAACCCTGTATCGCAGTTTGTAGATCCTTTGTGAGTATCAGCCATGTGGATGAGTCACAGCCATTGTTAGACCCATTTGCTCTCTGTGAAAGCCTGAGAGAATGGTTTCTCTCCATGTAACTCTTCTTAAGCACACTCTACATAATCTATCACTTTCCTCTGTGGCCCCATAATCTCCTTGATCAGAAAATCTCAGAAGCAACTGGGCTGCATGATGTTCCAGTACGGGTTCTCCTATGTCCTGAGTCTTCACTTACCTTGAAAGGCTAGGGCCAAAATGTTAGCTGTCCTTGCAGCCCTTCTTTTCCCCTAATTTTTGGTCAGCAAATTTAAGTTGTTAACCCTCTAAAAGAGAAGTTCATTATTCTTACCTGAAAATATAAGCAGTTGAGCTTAACCTCAGTATCGGTCTGAATATCAAACATCTTAGGCATAGCATGGAACAGATATTTTCTATCAAGTATTGATATGATAATTTAAGTCCCTACAGAACATGAAGAAAAAATTTTAAAAAGTAAAAATTATTTTAAAAAATAGGAATAAATTGTTACATATTTTTACACAGAAATTTAGAAATCTAACCATATACAGTCTTGTCGCAGGACAGTCCTGTGACTTTTTTTTCTTGTCTCTTATTTACAGAAATTACCCTTTAAAAAAAAATTACTTGAGAGACAGTGTGGCAGTAATTGGTATGTCATGAGAGGCAGTATACATTTAGAAGACCAGAGTGACAGGCTTTCCAAACATGATCCTACCATTACACATTGCTTTCTTCAGTGCAATTGTTTAGTTCACAGTTATCAGTATATATAGATAGTCAGGGTGGATATCCTACCAATTAACTGCTAATTTCCATAACATGCTAAAGATTCTCAGGACAATTTCCTTAAACATCTTGTGCATATGAATGTATGGCTTTGCCCCTGTCATGTTTCCTAGCTTTTATCCTTGCCCTCTGTTCATAGTCTAAACCTCCTGTTATTTTAATTGTTTTATACCTTTTTATTTTTATTTGTTCTTTTGAGTTTTAATACTAGGGAGACTATATGATATTTACACATGCGGGTCTGGTTTATTTCACTTATGAGTGTATCTTCAAGTGGCATACACTTAAATATTAAGGCTTTGAGTTTATCATTCTTTATAGCTGAGTAATACTCCATTGTATAAAAATACCAAATCTTTGTTGTTTCCAAGATTTGGCTATCACAAATTGTGCTGATATAAACATAGGTACACATATATCACTATTATATGATGTTTTCAAATCCTCCAAGAAAATTCCCAGTAGCAGAATAGCTGGTTTGAATGGGATTTCCAGTCCTAGTTTTCTAAGGATTCACCACACTGATTTCCATAATAGTTGCACCAGTCTACATTCCCACCAGCAATGGAGAAGGGTTCCTTTTTCCCAACAGCCTCTCCAACATTTGTTGT